AGTGGGTACGACCAGCACGCGTTGCGTAATCTCGTCCACGCGTGCGCGGTCTTCGCCGCAGTCCATCTGAGAGCCGCAATCAACGGCCCAAAAGGGGGTCCCATTTCTCGTTTCCTGACGGATTTCGCTGCTTCTTTCGCCACTGACGTACCATTGAGGACCCCCTCGTCCCCTCTAAACCCCATTCAAACCTAGCGTAACCGCTGCCTTTAAGGCTACGTTTCTTGTTGAATGGTGTACTCCTCCCTGTAATTTCACATGAACCCTTTCAGAATCCTCTTGATTTTTCCTGAATTGAGATTCTTTCTCCAGAGAGCCGTAGTTGAAGCGCGCGCAACCAACTGGGCCCACTCTGGGATGCGCCGTGTGCTTCACATCCCTTCAGATTTGAGGACTACTTGAAAGAAAATATCCCTTGGAAAACGTGCGAATTTCGGATTCTTTAACTTGTGTGGTGATAAAACACTGAAGTAACTAAGAATTGCTAAGCGGACACCTCTGAATCACGAAGATTTTGTGTGGGCGGAATCAATTGTTATTGGAAATACTCTGGCCTGGCATCGACTCGATCCTTGATGTTTGTCCTCCGACGATGATCCTACTGCATCAATCGGGCCCGATCTCTTCCCCCAGCGGGCCAATACGACCCCCCCCCCTGTGACATGTCGAGGATTCCTCAACGCACGCTTGACCCTGCTCATAGTTCGTTGCCCCCTAAGCATATTTCCGAGCATGTAGAATCTATGGGAATAACGCTGTCAAACTTTCTGTTGCAATGCTGGTTATGTCCTTGGACAATTTTTGTTTCTTTAAAGGAGTAGTATGTAAGTCCCATCGAAGGGCGGTGGGGGATTGGCCGAGTTTTCATGCCTGCTGAAGATCAACTGAAGGATCTCGAAATGGAATCCGTTTTAACACGTTGACGACATCGCGCGTTTTGTGTTTTTGCACCGCGTGGGACCAGAGCGATTTTGCGAGCGCGCCGCCGCACACCAAATCCATGGATTTTGAGTTGTAAATACGCAATACTTAGATGCGATGAAATGTTTTCAATGATGTTCGATCTGTCTAGCTTATCAGGAGTTACAGTAATGGAAGTTTGACCGAAATGACGTGTTAAGGCCATGAAAAGGGAAATTTTACTTAATTTCCCTTTAGTGGTTCCAAAATTAATTTATACGTGGTTGTTTTAGTAAAAACACATATCATCCCATATTTTCTCAACATGTCTGCGTTACTGAAAAGAAAACGAGGAATGAATTGAACAGACATATCCGTAAGGTCTGGAAAATCTCTGCCAAACTAAAGAATATTTGGCCTTTCTGTGAGCCATGTGGTTTTTAAGTATGCTAATGTATGCCTATAGAATGAGTACAAAGACCTTAGGAATAAGTCGCACAAGCGCAAGAAAAAGGGATGACTTGGGTGGGACGCGTTACCGCGTCACAATGTCCCACGAGGTGCGCAAAGTGGGACGCGTTACCGCGTCACGCTGTCGTCAACGTGTTAACGCGGGCCCTCTGGCCAGAGTCATTCGTGCGTTGCGCGAATTTTGAATTTTACCGCCTTCTCCTTTCGGTGGGCATCAGTACGACCCTGTTGTATGAAACATTTATGCCTATTTCCATAATTTTACGCCCATT